AGTGAGTAGTATTGTCTCTTTCTTCCAAAAAAAATGTGAGAGAAAGATAACTCAAGAAGCCTAATCAGTCTGCAGGAAAGTAGGTTCTTTTGCTGAGCTATGATCCTTCATCTGCAATTCTTCAGGAGCTTAAATCCTGAGTGGCAGGCCAGGGTAAGTACAGCTCAATTTTCAGGCACAAGTAGTGTCATATAATGCATCTCCTCAAATGACTGCCAAGAGTTTCAGAAAGAAAAAAAGAAAAAAAAAAGACAAAAAGGGAAAAAAGAGAAATCAAGAGTTGACATTTCAGAGGAATTTAAGAAAAATGGAAAGAACGAACCTTGGTGCTGCTGTGCGTGGTCAGGTCGCTACGGGAATCACTGGCGTTGATCTTTTCAGTATTAGAGGAGGGATAAATGAGCGGTGCGACAGCTCGCGGGTGCAATCGCTGCCCCCGGGGCCCAACCCGGCTGAGCGGCCCGAGACCCTGCGCGCTGCACCGTGCCGCACCGTACCGCACCGTACCGCACTGCACCGTGCCACACCGTACCACACCGTACCACACCGTACCGCATCGTACCGCACTGCACCGTACCGCACCGTACCGCACCGTGCCGCACCGTACCGCACTGCACCGTGCCGTACCGTACCGCACTGCACCGTGCCACACCGTACCACACCGTACCACACCGTACCGCATCGTACCGCACTGCACCGTACCGCACCGTACCGCACCGTGCCGCACCGTACCGCACTGCACCGTGCCGTACCGTACCGCACTGCACCGTGCCACACCGTACCACACCGTACCACACCGTACCGCATCGTACCGCACTGCACCGTACCGCACCGTACCGCACCGTGCCGCACCGTACCGCACTGCACCGTGCCGTACCGTACCGCACTGCACCGTGCCACACCGTACCACACCGTACCACACCGTACCGCATCGTACCGCACTGCACCGTACCGCACCGTACCGCACCGTGCCGCACCGTACCGCACTGCACCGTGCCGTACCGTACCGCACTGCACCGTGCCCGCCGCGCCGCACCGCGCCGCACCGTACCGCACCGTACCGCACCGTGCCGCACCGTACCGCACCGCACCACACCGTACCACACCGCACCGTGCCACACCGGACCACACCGCACCGTACCACACCGTGCCACACCACACCGCACCGTACCACACCGTACCACACCGCACCGTACCGCACCGTACCACACCGTACCGCACCGCACCACACCGTACCACACCGCACCGTGCCGCACCGCGCGCCCCGGAGCAGCCCGAGCGCCGCGGAGCAGAGCTGCGAAACCGCAGCGAGGCGCAGGGCGCGGGAGGCGCGTTGTGGCCTGCCGGAGCATCGGCAAACACGGCGAGCACAGGCGTAGCTGCGGAGCTTCATCATTTCGTCTTTGCTCTCGTTGTCTTCTTTTTTTTCTTTCCTTTTTCTGCAGGGGAAAAGTGAAGGAATAATAAAAGTAAAGAACTGAAGGAGGAAAATACTATTATCAGACTGGTTTGTGCCAAACTGCAGTTCAAAAGACTGCTGATCTTGACTGAGATAGTGTTTGCAGAATGCTTTGCAACAGTTTTTGAGCCAGAACACTTTCCTCTGGGAAAGACAAAGATGCCGAAAGCAAAAGAGGTGTGCAGCAGAGGCCCTAGGTATCTGTGGGTCATTTCAACTGCCGCAGTAAAAGAACAGTGTGCATCTGCCTTCGATATTTTTCTAGTTTCCTAATATTCATGAAGGTTATGAAACGGGAATGTTAGCATTCATTTCAGCTGCGCGTCACTGGGAAAAGCAAACTCGGATGGGTCCCGGGAGCCTTCGCAAAGGCGGGTGCCCGGGAAGCGCTTCCCGGCACGGAGCGTGGCCCAGGCCGGCCTGCCCGCGGGGCGCTCCCCGGGA